CCAGTCATCCTTCTGCTCACAATCATCTAGCCATTCTCTTCTCCAAAAACAAGCATACACATGGATCTAATCCCAAATCTCTTAAGCACTCAAGAACTCCCTCTAAGCAATGGGAGTTCGGGAACAAAGCAGTAAAGGATCCAACTCCAAGGGAATCACCACGGAACCAATGCAGATGAGACAGCCCATGCGTCTCCGGGGCCCAAATCCACACCCAAAGAGGCCAGTGACAGCTCCTGGTGACTTCACAAAATCAGACGAGGCCCTCAGCTGTGATGAGCATAGCGCAGCAATCACACGACCAGACTTCCCAAGAACACTGTCCAAACTGATGGAGGTGGAGAAACAGCCATTGCACAATTGTATTCTGTCTCCATTTCCTTTGTCCGTGGATATCGCCCAATCAACTAATAAGGGGACTATTCTTTCTCCACTTTTCTATTAAAAAAAAAATCTAGTGACAACAGAGGGCACTTCCAAGAGGCAAGAGGATCATACTTCTAATTTCCATTACAGCATTATTCTGAACAACAAGTTAAACATGATGATATGCAACCTACCTTCTCAAAATGCCTTTTAAGGTAAACACTACTGAAATGAAAGCATCTCATTGTCCACTGGTCTGAAATCCACATCTTTCTGGCATGATTTTTAAGTTGTGTGTGGAATGTGGAGGGTTTATTTTCTCGTTTTAGAAACTAGACATAAAAAGTTACACCAGCTTGGGTTTGCTACTCAATTCTTTTTTTTCTTTGTTTTTCGTTTTTTAAAAAGACAGGCTGGCTTACCAGGACCAGAACCCTCAACATCCTTTAAAATTAAATAAATAAATATCCTGCTATGTTTTGCTTTCTACACTCCAAGAACATCTTCCTAACATAATATTCTTTTTACCATCCAAAGTTTAGCTTTTTTGTTCCTCTCCCCCTTTCCCCACCCAAGAAGGCCAACACATTTGTTTTCCAACAGTAAGAGCTGCTATAGCACATTCAAGGGTAAAGTAAAGGACAAACAATAAAAACTGGACACCACTGACTGCTTCTGTCTGCCAAGATGAGATGGTCCCTTCCCCAGTGCCAAGGCAGCTCCACTGAGGAGGACTGAATGTGTCAGAGCAGTCTCTTCAAGTTCATCACTTGTTTGCCACTTTTTTTTTTCCCCCCTAAACCAACTTATTCCTTTGCTTCTTCCCTGGGGCTCTGGGGTTCCAATTTGCATTTGATCCTGCTCCAGTACTCAGGGGCCACAGGAGATGTGGGGTCATGTGCAGAGCAGCAGAGGCGGCCATCCAAGGCAGAGGCCATGAGGGCTCCCTTCTCGTGATCCTTACAGAAGGAGTGAGGGCAAAACTCACAGAAGGAAATGGCAGGATTGCCACAGATGTCACACTGATGCCAAGGACATTCCCACTTTCCTGAAGGTGGCAGGTGGAAGGGAGAAGAAAAAAAGAAAGAAAGACAGAGAAACTTACAACTCAAAAAATGGAATTCTTAAGTA